TTTTTTGTACAATGACTCTGTGGATTCCCTCCATCTTCTTTTGATGTTTCTTGAGTCATTTAATATATTGTCCTTAGCATCTTTAAATATTGTGACTCAAAGCTTAAATTTTTCAGTTCTCTCGACTTGAGAAATGCAAAGCAAATTCTTCCCTTTTTATTCTCCAATTCCAGCCCTCTGCATATTCCATTATAATATTTTGCTTTGTCTTCCTTAAGCTGTCCTTTGAAATTTTCTGTTCAGCTTTTTCTTTGACATGTTTTCCTTTTGTTTTGGCTTCTTGACACTCTAGTACAATTTTCAGAATCTCTTCTGATATCCATTTTGGTTTTTTCTTTCTCCTCTCTTTGTAATGACCTTTTGCTCTCTTCATGGATGATATCCTTGATATCATCCCACAAATATATGGCATCAATATCGAAGGAAGATTCATCAGTAACCTGCATTATGCAGATGACACAACCTTGCTTGCTGAAAAGTGAGGAAACTTGAATTACTTGTGGTAGAAGATCAAAGAATATTGCCTTCAATATGGACCTCAATGTCAAGAAAACAAAAATTCTTACCACTGGACTGATTGGCAACATCATGATGGATAGAGAAAAGACTGAAACTGTCAATAACTTCATCTTGGATCCACAATCAACACTCTTGGTACCAGCAGTCAGGAAATCAGGAGAGATATTGCACTGGGAAAATCTGCTGTTAGGGACCTCTCCAAATTATTGAATAGTAAAGATATCGGTTTGAGGACTATGGTGTGCCTGGTTCAGGCCACAGTCTTTCCTATCACTTGCTCTGCATCTGAGAGCTGGACAATGAGTAAGAATGAAAGAAGAGGTGATGCCTTTGAGCTATGGTGTCGGAGGAAAGTGCTGAATATCCTGCAGACTGCCAAAAGAACAAACAGATATGTTTTGGAGAAGGGGAAGCCAGAGTGCTCTTTGGAGGCAAAGGTGATAAAGCTTCTTCTTTCACACTTTGGACATGTAGCTAGGAGGAGTGGTTACTTGAACAGGGACACAATGCAAGGAAAGGTAGAGGGTCAGAGAAGGAAAGGAAGACCCTCAATCAGGTGGACTGACACAGTAACTGTCGCAATGGGCTGTAGTGGGTCAGGAAGCGTGAGGATGGCACTGGACAGGACAGGGTTTACATCTGTTGTTCACAGGGTTGCTATGGATGGTATTTGACTCAAAAGCATCTAACAACAACAACACCATGCACCTCAAACTTGGACAATGAATAAAGATGACAGAAGAAGAATGGATGCCTTTGAAATGTGGTGTTGCAGAAGGATACTGAATATCTTGTGGGACGCTAAAAGAACAAAACAAATATGTCTTGGAATAAGTGCAACCAAACGGCTCCTTAGAATTAAGGACAGTAAAACTTGGTCTGACATACTCTGCACATGTTGGCAAGAAGGGCCAGTCATTTAAAAAAGACATAAAACTGGGAAATGCAGGTGATCAGAGAATGAGAAGAAGTTTCTCAACAATATAGACAAATACAATGACTGTAACAGAGATGATGTAGATGAAGCAGGATAAAGTTCAGCTCTGTTTTACACAGGGGTGCTATAACATTTGACTCAATGGCACTAAATAAATCAACAATATCAGCCTATTAAAACAACTATGAGATATCATCTCACCCTAGTCAAAATAGCAAAATTTAACAGAACAGCAAGCAATAAATGCTGGCAAGGTTGTGGAGAAATTGGAACCCTTATTCACTGTTGGTGGGAGTGTAAAATGGTGCAACCCCTGTGGAAAGCGGCATGGCGCTTTCTCAAAAAGTTGCAAATAGAGACACCATTTGACCCCGCAATACCACTACTGGAAATATACCCCAAAGAGACCATAACTGACACTCAAGCAGATATATGCACACCCATGTTTATTGCAGCTTTGTTCACAATAGCAAGGAGTTGGAAACAACCTAAGTGCCCATCAACAAACGAATGGCTAGAGAAGCTGTGGTATATTCGCACAATGGAATACTATGCTGCATTAAAAAACAAGGAACTCATGCAATATTACTCAAAATGGCTGACTCTGGAGAACATTATGCTGAGTGAAATGTCCCAGTCACAAAGGGACAAATATTGCATGGTGCCACTGTTGTAGAACGGGACTGTCCTCAGGGTTGGGGAGAGACTGAGTAAGATGGGTTCAATAATGTATGCTGCTTTGAAACAGAGAAGGGAGAAAACTGTTTAAAAAAGATACGTGATTAGGTATTTCGGTCATGACAGGAGTCTAGAGCGATGGCTACATGGTGGAGTGGACCTGGGGGAGGGTTTGTAAAATAATGAAAGAATCTTTTCTTTTTCTTTTCCAAGAGGGTAATGTCTGGGGGGGGGGGGAGCCTTGGGAGGGGACAAATCTACAACAATGAATGAATGGAAATCCAAAGCCTCTGTAAATTTTCACTGAAATTAATAACAAATTTAAATTTTAAAAAAAAGAATTAAGTTAGAGTAAGGATGGCAATGGAAGCACCTTACCTCTGTAACTTGATTTGTGCCACTATTAGAACCTCTACTCAGAATATTATTGCTTTTCAATTTTTGACTCATGCACTTTTAACTTGTTAGTTAAATTTGTATCTTCTAGGCTGCAACACTTCCATGATACATCTTCAAGGATATGAACATGTACGGCTAAGCACAATTGATAACAGTGCATCTAAATTCCAAAATCAATCTCCATAATAGTCTATGTGTTTCCTACTGCCAAGGGGGCCCTTTAGAGTAGTGAGAGAAGACCTTCACCCTGAAACCCACAGCGTTCCTTTCCAGCAGGAAGTAGCTAAGAGAATACACCATCCCCTTTTCCTTATGAATCAGGGTGAAGTCTCTCTCAGGGAGGAGTGATAGGGAATGGCAAGGGACATACTGACAAAGGAGATTAATCAGAACTGGCTTTGACAAGCACTGTGGCAATTGGACAATTAAAACAGACATGGGGGGGGAAAGAAGAACAAACTGGGGAGGAGGGTGGAGAAAACAGTGCAACAATGAATGAATGAAAACCCAAAATCTCTGTAAATGTTCATTAAAACTAATAAAATTTAATTTAAAAAAACCCCAATATCAACCTAATGAATATTTTCATAGAGTTAGAAGGGTGTCTTATGGATTGAATTTTGTCCCCCAAAATATGTTAAGTTGTAATCCTAACCTCTGTTATCTGTGGTTTCAGAAGCTCTAGTGGAAAACTACCAGAAATACAAGCTGGGTTTAGAAGAAGTAGTGGCATTAGAGACATTATCACCAATGTCAGATAAATTTTTGGCAGAAAGCAAAGAGTACCAGAGAGTTATCTATCAGTGTTTCATTGGCTACTCAAAGGCATTAGACTGTGTGGATCACAACAAATTGTAGTTAACCTTGAGGAGAAAAGGAATCCCAGAACACTTGATTGTGTTTATGTGAAACTTGTCCTTGGACCAGGAAGCAGTCTTCAGAACAGAGTGAGGAAATATCGTATGATTCAAAATCAGGAGTGTGTCAAGGATGCATCTTGTCGCCATAGCTTTTCAATCCATATGCAGAACAGATCATTTGGAAAGCTGGGCTTTATGAGGAGGAATGTGGCATTAGGATTGGAGGAAGACTCATCAACAACCTGCATTACGCAGATGACAAAACCTTGTTTGCTCAAACTGAGGAAAGCCTGAAGTGCTTGCTGCAGAAGGTTAAGGACTGTAGTCTTCAATATGGATTGAAGCTCAACATCAAGAAGACAAAGACTCTCACCACTCAGCTAACTGGCAGCACCATGACAGACGGAGATGAGATTGAGGTTGTTAACAACGACTGCTTGCTCTGCTCCACAATCAACATTCTTGGCATCAGCATTCAGGAAATCAAAAGATGAATTGCACTGGGAAAATCTGCTGTCAGGGACCTCTCCAGAGTAGTCAAAAACAATTATGTCACTCTAGAGATGAAAGGAGCACCTAATCCAGGCCATGGTCTTTGCAATTACTTCCTATGCATTGGAAAGCTGCACAATGTCTAAGAATGATAGAAGAACTGATGCCTTTGAGCTATGGTGCTGGAGAAGAGTACTGAATATGTCATGGACTGCTAAGAAAACAAACAGGTTTTTCCTAGAGAGAGTGAAACCAGAATGCTCCTTGGAGGTAAGGATTCTGAAGTTAGTCTGACATACTTTGGGCATGTTTCAAGGAGGGACCAGACCTTGAAGAGAGGCATCATGCTTGGGAGAGTGGATGAAGAGTGCAAGAAAGGAAGACACTGGATGAGATGGATAGTTTCAATGACCTAGGTAATGGTGGTAGGTGTGTCAGAGATGGTAACGTTGGCTCAGGATAGAGCAAGGTTAAGAGCTGTTGTCAATCTGAGTCTCAAGCGACTCGATGGCACATAACAACAACAATGCTCTAAGTGAGAATCAACTTACAGCTGACCCTCCAGTGGATGTTCAGAGGAGAGTGCAAGTTTCTCTCCGAGCAGCTGGTGGACTCGAACTGCCTGCCTTTGGATTGACATCACAACACCATATCTACTGGATCGTATAAACCTATACATGCAGAATCCTAAACGGGATCTAGTTCGTGGCCATTCCATCCATTATTCTTCATTCTCATTCCTTTACAGATTCAACCTACACCTCACGACCCGACCTCACTCCACCGCCCAAAAAAGGTAATTTATAAGCCCAAATCCCTAAAACTCTATCAAGAGTCTCTGAATCCTTTACTTGCCCTCCTTCCTTCCCCTGGTTCCACGTCTCCTTCCCGCTGACCACTCTATTTCAGGGCAGACCTCTCTTCAAGAGCACAATAAAATGTGAGTTGGGGGTTAAAAGGGAAAGGACAGATTACACTCAAACAGCTTTGGATCTAAAACAACACTTAAACAATAGTTCCTGGGAGACGGCGTTTCATTTTTAACAGAACCCTAATAATTTCATATTCTAGTTTCGAAAGCTCGCTCTGGAGCCGTCATTCCCGTTGACACTTACGTGACATTGGAAGAGCCCGGGCGACTCTGAGATGCACGGCGGCCGCCATCTTTCCCACAATCCTCTGCGGAGCACCCTGCGGCCGCTACGGTACTACGCTGGGCCAAAATTAACTCCTCGCCGGCTTGTGCATGCGCTTCTCAGGAAAGGGAGGAAAGGGTCTCAAGTTGCGATAAAGAATTAAAAAAGGGCTTTGGAAGCGAAAAGAAAACGGAAAGAGAGAACTAGCAGAGAAAGGGAAGAAATTAAAAGGAGACAATTGTAGATCTGAATATCCTATCTGGGATGAGCCATAAAGATAATATATCACTCATGAGAAACCGAGGTCAACCAGAGACTTGACTCAGTCACAGAGTAACAGAAGAGCTCCAGGAGCTTCCTATCTTTCAGTGCAGAAATGCTCCCCGAAATTGTCAGAGGTCAGCTTTTAGTGAGACTTGGGACTTGGGAGGTAGGCGCGTTGCCTGCCTTGGAGGGGCTCTTGGAGAGAACTGGGACCTAGAAGATGGAGGAGGAGGACGCAGGAAAAAAATTCTGAAAAAAAAAAGGCGCCTGTGTTCTCCGACTGTAATCCACGACTCTCAGACCTGTTTTTTGTTTTTCAAACATTCTTCTAGGTCGTATAGCCCTGGTGTACCCACTTGCCGTACAGAGGTAACTTGTGGTTTCTTGTGAAGCAGAACACTGTGACACTGACGTGTCAAATGCGATTATGGTTACCCATGGCGGACAGTGTTGGGTGGTGCTCCCCAATTAAAACAAACTTGGATGCAGGAGAGGAATCCACTTCCATAATAGCTTGCCTCTGGAAACCCTATGAACCTGGAGGGAGGATGAAAGTCACACAAGTGTTGAGGACTTTTCGTTCATAGGGTCACTATGAGTCGCCTAAGACTACACGGGGCTTAACAACAACAACTGTGGTATTATTTACCCCAGAGAAATAAATGCACTTCCAGCCCACCAAGTACGTTCTTGCTTGTTTACTTTCCTTGGAATGCTCACTTTGTCGAAGGCTTCTCTGGCAACACTATGCACAGTGGTCTTGCTCCACCTGGGTATTAGTTCCTTATCAGAGGACTGAATACGACTTGATTATTTAACCCCAGACCTTTACACCTTATCAGGATTCTCTTGATCCTTTATCTTCTCTCCAATGTTCTTTCCCTTTCCACACCTGCCCCCCTCCCCCCTCCCAGTGAGCCCCTCCACAAGACCATACATTATTATTAAGGATTTTTTAACCTGGCGTTAGATTCCTAAGAAATGGTAGGAAATCCGAACTTTTCTGAAATAGGAAGCAAAATTTACTAGCCTTGAATGCCATCTGTGCATTTTCCTAGGGGAAACAAGAGCTTGTGTTTTTGTTGGTTTGGTTTATTTTCTTTTAATGTTGAACCTTTTGAGAATCTATTCTAGAGAGCGCTCATGCAACTTTAGATCTTTTATTCTGCTCATACCTCTCAGGAGAAAACAAAGCAGTGATAGTTTAAGGTATTGGTGAGCGTTTATGTGAGATAATAAACCACTATGGGGCACATCTTTCTGGATTTGGTAGTTCTTCCAGTGTGTTGGGTTTTGTTTTGTTTTGTTTTGTTTTGTTTTGTTTTGTTTTGTTTTTAGGAAAGGGGCAGCATGTGTAACTGATTTGGACAAAAGTAACAAAGTATTGTTACTGCCACGTCAGCTCTATTAATGAAGGCCTCATTCGTGGAGCCTTGTCACGCTCTTATCTTAAACATTATTGACAAAGCAAATAGGGATTGCCTTATACTTGGTTGTTAGGTGTCTTTAAGTGGGGTCAGATCATAGTAACCCCGTATAAAATGACACAGAACCCCTCCCTTGTGCCATCCTTAAAATCTCTGCTGTGCACTTTTTCCCATTGTGCCAGTACATCTTGTTGAGGGGCGTCCTCTCCTTCACTGACCCTCTACTTTTCCAAGCATGATGTCCGTTTCTGAGGCCTCCCCACTCTTGATATGGTCAATGTATCTGAGAGAAATGAAGTCTTACCATCTCTCCTTCTAAGGAGCACCCTGACGGCACTTGCATCTAGTAGTGTTCTACTATGCCTTCTTCCACTATCTACCCTACGAAAGGGTCATCTATTAAATTGGAATAAAAGCAAAACCTTGGAAGAAATTTAGAATAGTTTAAGAACGCTAGACTATCTCATATTTCCTGATGTCATCTTGTGTTTATTCAGAATTTAGCATTTGCTAATACTTGATTTTGAGGTGAATATGGAAAGTATACATTGCTAGTTCTCCTACCTCAATAGATTCCACTCTCCTCAGCAGTCTTCTCTTATGCATGTGTTGTTGTTATGTGCCATCGAGTCACCTGTGAGGCCATAGTACAGCAGCTCTGAACCCTACCCTGTCCTAAGCCAGTCACACTAATTCTGACACACCAAATCTCATTGCCCTGATTATTCGATCAGTCCATCTCATCCGGGATCTCCCTCTCCTGCACTGTCACGCCACGCTTCCGAGCATGAAGTCCTTCTCCAAGGTCTAGTCTCCCAAAGTATGTGAGATAGAGCTTCAAAATCCTAGCCTCTAAGAAGAAACTTGTTTCAAAAGACAACTTGCATTGAGAAAATATGCTTTCAGGGTACTGAAAAGCAACGATGTCATTCTAGGGACTAAGGTGTGCCTGATCCAGGCCATCATCTTCGCAATTACTTGCTATGCATCGGAGAGTTGGACATTGACTAAGGATGACAGAAAAAGAACTGATGTCTTCAAATTGTGGTGCTGGAGAAGAGTCTTGAACATGCCATGGATCATCAAGCAAATAGGTCTGTCTTGGAGAGGGTGAAACCAAGTTTCTCACCTATGTGATAATGCCAATTATGGTATCTGACCTATCTATGTCAAACATTCTTTCATGTTCTTGCTACTAGTTTCAAGGTAATGTCTTCCATCTGAAAAAGCACTGAATTAAAGTTTAGAATATTACATCTCAGCCCAACTTCTGCAAGTTATTAGTGGTAATATGCAAAAACTTCCATACTTGTTAAAGAGAGAAAATAATGACTTTCCTATTACCCTAAAAGTTAATTGTGAGGCTCAGATGACATAATCAATGTGAGGGTGTTTTTGTCAGCCTCACTGCTATATGCATTTCATGTGCAGTCCTGTTAAAATATGATTGGGTTATCAATGTCCTTGAAGGTTAGAGCTGGAAGAGATATTAAAAGATCAATAATTCCAATTGCCATTTATCTTAAAGTTGAAGGAATAAAAATCTAATAGACTAATATAAAAGATTATTGATAGAGAATGAACTTTTTTCATCTCATTTTTATTGGTTTGCATACAATCATTCTTTGTACTTCATGCATGTTCATTTTGTTTTATATAATCTTTTTGTATTTTGCTCATTTGTATTGTGATTTATACAGTCATTCATATGCATTGTATTTTATGTAATTAAGTTGATCCATGGCTATTATTACTAACTTTATTGAAAGTAGACAAGCAGTCACTTTTGAATTCAAGTTGGGATTTTAATCATTGTCTTGTGGCCTTGATCAGAAGTTGTGTTTATTTCATGGAAGCTGTGTTACTCTTATATTTAATCATTAATTAATTGCTCAAGATAACATATCCAAAGAGAATGTACTAATAATAAAGCCTAGGAAAAATTGCAACTCACATTACTCTTGGTCTAATTCAGCCCACTGTTGTTTTTGCTGTTCAGACATTGCAAAAGATGGATTAAAGATGTACTGCATTGGGCAAGTCCATAGTTATGGACCTTTCCAAAATGCTGAAGAACAATGATGTAAATCTGAAGACGAACATGTGCCTGACTCAGACCATGGTCTTCTCAACCACCTGCTATGCATCAGAGAGCTGGGCAGTGAATAAGGATGACGAAGGTAGAGAGGAAATGACAGAATGACACCTTTGAGTTGTGTACTGGAGAAGAGTACTGAATATCCCAGTGGACTTCCAAAAGAACATACAAATATGCCTTTGAGCCAAAAGATTGGCTGTCCAAACCCACCCAGAGGTGCCTTAGAAGACACAACTTGTGATTGCTTCTGAATTATCACAACTTTGAAAACTCTATGGGCAGTTCTTAGCATACATATCATTCAGAATCAACTGAATGACAACCAACAAGAAGAAGATTGCAGTGTGATTTATCAGTTTGATTGGCTCAGGATAGGATAGGATTCAGAGCTATTGTACATAGTGTCACAATGAGTTGCAGGTGACTCAATGGCACATATCAACAGCAACAACAGATATAATTCTATAACACCCAACAAATTATTCGGAAGGACAATATTCATAAAGTGATTGTGGCCCTCAAAGGAGATTGGACAGTTTACTAATAATGCCAATTAAGTGCATGAAGCCCTACAAGGGTGGGCACATGCAAACAGTGTATAGAACCCTGGAGCAGCTGCAAAGGTGGCCACCCCTTACCCATCACACATTACACGTTTGTGGGGAGCCTGATGCTAAGAAAAACAAACAATAACAAAGTATATAGAATCTTAAGAAGGAGATTAGTCAACATTGCTATCTCAACCAGGCTTTAAATGAAGCATCTCAGAGGAAGAAAAGGGGCTCTCACTACCATCAAGAAGAGGAGATGAGACTATAGTATTTCCCTTGGCCCCAGGCGCCCTACAGAGAAACCTCCTAGACCCAGGAAACAGAGGACTGTAATAATGTCAGTAGCAGAGGCAGAAGAACCAAGAGACAGGGCAGGAGACTTGCTAGCCAATGGAACCAGAGGGCTGAGTGGCTTAGATTTATCCATGGAGTGAGGTGCCTCTAGGCACTTGATGGAGCTAAGTTTACCAAACCACAGAGCTAGAGAACTGAGCCCCTTTGGTTGAGGTATTCACAGACTAGGATGCACTTTTCAGTGGAGCTAACATTAAATCTAACACTTAACCTAAGTAGGACAGAGACAAGGCTAGCCCAGCCCTGAAGCTCAAAAGCCAGAGAGAAGCTTCCCTTTGGCCACTGCTGGAAAGATGCCCAGATGGCAGAACTATAACCACAGTTCTTCTTGATC